GGAAACACAATAAAAACACAATAAAAGTTAAATCAATTCAAATAGATTTAGAATACATCAGTCTGATAAAATGAAATAAAATATGGAATAATAATAATAGTCCAGAAGTGCAGTGATTCAGTGTTCCAAATTGCTCCTAATTCAATAACGCCATTATTTTCTCCACTTTATTGTACTTACTTATGTTCATCATAAACCTGATGGCTTTGTCCCTTCACAGCAGTGGTTCCCAACCTGGGGGTCAGGACCCCCACTAGGGGTCACCAAGGCTTCATGGGGTGGCGCAAGGTCTTCTTGATTTTAAGGGGTGTAAGAAAACTTAAAAAATACAGACAGCAGGCCTGTATCTCAGCATCTGGTTCAATCTGTGAAGATTGTTCACACAAAAGTCTTGCAGTTACTGAGTTCACTGTTTGGATTCATTGTACAGTTTTGAATATAATCGTCAGTTTACTCAATGATAGAGAATGAGTTCCCTAAAGAAAAAGGTTGGGAAACATTACTTTATAGCATTAGTGCACCAAATTTTAGATTTGTTTCCAGAGAGATGTTATTCAATTTATATAGTGACTTTGCTTTACTGTTTTTGCTCTAGAAACAACATTCAGTTATATTTAATATATAAATAAGTTATAATCCTTTTCAGGACATTTTTCTTGCTTATGCCTGAGTACAATGTGAAAAACTACAACCTGTGTGTTTTTTGAAACAAACATTTCAATGATAATAGTCAAAAATCATGTGAAATACATTTTAGTCAAATAACATCCACATTTATATGAGTGAAGCATTCATAGAAAATAAATTAACTTGTGTTTTTTGGTTGTTTTTTCACTTAAGACAATTTTTATTTTCATTTTTACTATTAGGTGGTGACTCACACTCAGATTCTTTGGCCATTGGAATGGACAGACAAAAAACAACCTGACAAAGTATTTTAATCAGTTTAAGATGGGGTTCATTGGCCTGCCTTTATTATGTAAGCAGAGATACACACATTCACACCTGAGCATCCCAGTAAGACCAGTCCTCCAGCGTGGGCCCAATGGGGAGCAGATGCCAGTCTTCCTCGTTCACTCTCCCCACCCTGCTTCTTCTTCTAAACCAGCAGCCATGCTGTCACAGGGTTGCTTCTAGCAGCTTAAGGCTGTGTGTCACTCAGAATGAGAATGAAAACTATAGATTGTCACAATGCCAAACCTTACATAGTGTTGCTTTAATGGTCTGTGTTTCTCTGGTTAATCATCCATCTGTCTCCACCACGTCAGATATACTGTAAAGTGAGTTAAACCCAAGTTATTATATATATTTTAGCATCAGTGTCTCCTGAAGAAATAATCCCTATAAAAACTGATTAATGTTCTGAGGAGTATCCAGAACAGACACATTGTTTTCATATTTTATGTACTGTATGTACATATTATTTTACACATTTTTATAATGTTTAAATGCATATTTTAAATATTGTTGAAATATAACTTCATGGGGGGTCGCAGGGCCTTTTTGATTTAAAGAAGTGTAAGACAACTTTAAAAAATACACTGTAAACCTATATCTCAGCATTTCATTCATTTCTGTGAAGAAATTGTTTGCTTGGATAGTATGTATGATTGAATGTTAAATACATATGAGATTGTATTAAAAGTTCCTAAAAATATCAGGAAAACCCATCTCCGATGCAATTTGCAGGAAATAAATAAAAATACATCTAAATCAGTCATTTTACACAAACTTCCTGCAGTTATTGTGTTTTCTATTGTATCATTGTACAGTTTATCAGGTTTATAATATAAAATATCCATAAAATATGCCCCTCAGTCAGGGGTTGTCCCTCACTGATAGAAAGGGGGTTCCTGAAGGAAAAAGGTTAGGAACCACAGCTTTAGGGGTTGTTTTACAATGTTTATCTACAGGTTATAATGTTTGACTTGTACAAGGCAGTGCTTATACAGCATGCTGGATCAAATCAGTTACCGACTAATTAATAGGGATCAAGCGGTGAACCCTGGAAGCTCACCTGGTAGAGCTGGCACATAAATATACCAAGGCTGGGTCTTGAGTGCAGTGTTATTCGCTCTCTCTCTCCCAAGGCTGGGATCCATCTTGACCTGTCCTATCCAATAAAACGTATAAAATAGTGCAAGGTTGTGAGTAAATAAAAATTGTGTGAGGCTGATGTTATGGAGGGCTGACAGCTGCTAACATTTATATACAAATATTTGCTTACATTATTTAAAGACTGACTTAAACCCATCCTTTTAGTCCCAGTGCTAACCCCTGACCTGTGGTGGAAATGCCTTGACGTGTGTTGATCTGATAAGTGTACAGGGCATCAAGCACAATGCCTCTGCACAGATCTCCAAACACAGTACAGAATACATATACACAGCAGTGGGACTGTGATATGCCATCATAAAGCCAGTGGGACCCACAAACAACCACTCATTCACAGTGTGCACCTTCTTCTCTACGTATATATACATATACTGTATTTCTACTCATGTGTTTTTATTATATGTTTACCAGTGTGAGCCAAGTCAGAGACAAACTCCCATTACTCTGTGGGAGGACAGTGAAGTTTTTCTGATTCTCTGCCAACCCCAGAGATGACCTCTGGAAGTCAATACAGAGTATAGTCCAGAGTACAGCAGACAGCATATCATGGACAGAGTGAAGACAAAATGGAAATGTTATCATTCCAGTGTGCTGGGAGGAGGACAGTTGGCTGGATGAACAGTATTTGCTCAGAACTGATGGCGCTCTAATCATTTGTTACACACCAAATACTGATTTCAAAACATGTTTCCCAGCCTCACAGTCAAGTTTTAATAAGATTGTATTGCACTGCAGACACAGGGGTTCAGGGGATGGAAGGAAGTGACACCTCTGTCTTTTTAAATCATTTGCTTTATCTGAAAGAAGAATCTTGGCACCCAAGTCGAGATTGCTCCTCTCCCTCTACAGGCCACTGCCACACAACCCATCCCGAGCAGCAGATCATATAAAAGCAGAACACACTCAGATGAATCAGTTTGGATGCTGAGACTTCGGCCATCTTTGGAGAGTTTATGCTAATTTACGCACAAATCTACGCTGGTAAAACCGGCAGTGGGCTGTGTTATGTTGGACCTGTAAGCATCTCTGATGTGGCGCATCTCAGCTGCGTCAAACGAAATATGGTCAGACAGATCAGACCGGAAAGGAAGAGATTTGTTTTCCAAAATAAAAGCGTAAGGTTTGTCTCTGACGAGCTGGGGCGTTAATCCATCCATCCATCTTCAGTGCCTGCTGATTTCTTCTCACGGACTCCCAGCATGCATGCAGTGAAAGGCATTTTAACATACACCACAAAGGTGCTCACATGGAATATGGTGTGTTGTTTCTGGTTGCCCTATTAACATCTTGATTTATGCTTTTACAAGCAATGAAAGGACATTTTCTGTTTTCCACAAGGACCCCTCAAAAGAGGCACATTGTTACACATGGAATAAATGAAAGAAACAGAAATAAAGCAAGTCAACCTGTGGCCATATACAATACAGAAAATTAGAAAATTACAGCATATAAAGTAAGTAAATAAACACACAAATATACAGAAGAGATACCAGCACACTCAGGTAAATGTTCAACAGTTCAAAATAGCTATTATTATCTTAAACTTATAGAGATTGCTTAACTCTGTAATATGTTTAATGTTGAATATTGATTTCAAATGTAATATTGCTTGGATCCTATAATACAGTTGAACTCATCTGTTTTTCCCATGGCCAATGCAGTGGAACACATTTCTTTATTGCTTTGTTTATATGCAAAAGAAAAAATGTAGCCTGATCCCAAATGACCGTTAATGATCCAGTATCCATACTGTATGGCCATGCTTCAGCAGCTCAGCCTACATCAGCTGTGTATCATCTTCAAGTCACTAAATTCACTTCTATAGACCCCTTTACAGACATAAAACCATACAGTTTTTTGCATGTGGTATAAATGTGTTGTAATTGCATAAATTAGGAATGACTGGACACATAGCCTACTTCATGAGACTCCTGCATAAGTCAGTGCCCCAACGCCCCTGCTATGTGCCTGTATTTTGGGGAGCTGTGGTTCATGAGGCAGAACGAGTTGTCCACTAACCAGAAAGTTGGCAGTACAATCTCTGGCTTCTCCCTCTCCATGTCAAAGTGTCCTTTGGTGAGATACTGAACCCCAAATTGCTGTCGATGCTGTGTGAATGGGTGACGCTGACCTGTAGTGTAAAGCCATTTGAAACATCTCAATATTATAATTTTATTAACAGAGGGTGGTGTTTCTGGTATTCAGTCTATCCTTGTTGATATAACTGGGTGGACAAATGATAGAAGTCAGTTTAATATAATACAGGTCAACAGCACCATAAACTCTAGTCTCTAAATTAACTCCTCTCTAAAACAGTCTGAACCAAGACTGCACACTACAGCCTTCTTTTATTGCAGGACTGCTGTATTAGACTGCGTTGGTTTTTATGTGCAGCTAATAAAGGGAGTGTGTAACAGTGAATTATTGTTGATTCATAAAGGCTTTTACTTCAAAAACAAAGACCGGAACTCCTGTCTCTGTGCATTCTTGCCGGCCTGATGGTGGTGCGCATCTCACCGACCGCGAATACCGATTTCTGAACATTTCGGCCTTTTTCCCCGCTGCACCGTAAGCTGTGTTTGTGCAAGCGGCTGCAAGGGGAGCGGGTTGCACTGGCGCCGCGGGGTTAACGGGAAGGCTTCCATCGGTCGGTATTATGACAAACGGAGATGACACACATCCAGAAGGAGCCGTGTTTGTTTTGTATGGCGAAATGAGGCAAGGGGTTGAGAGTCGCCACAGAGACGCTGGGCTCCGGCCAAACATCACCGCATTTTAGCACTTATTCGATGCCCGGGATTTGCATTGCATTGCATTTGCTGCATCGTTGATCGGCCGTGTTTCTTGCAGATTGCATGGTGGAGAATGCAGCTTGTTTGAGGACAGCCCCCCCTCCTGATATCCATTGGTGCCATGATAGGCAGAGGTCTCCTCTCGACCGCGGCTCGGCCGGCTGGAGAAGAGGCAGATTGATTTGGGACGGTGGGTCGCATCTGCGGATGTTGTTCTGTGTGTGGAGCCTGTGAATATCATCCGCGCAAACGCACCGTGAATCTCACTCAGGGAAAAAGGAGAAAGAAAACAACATGTCTTCTCGATCTGCATTACCGTCTGGAAACGACAGGAGTACTGGAGACCATGTAAGTGCAATTACAGCCCATAGCCTCTGTTTGTGTGCAAGATAAATCGTGCATCCCTTCAAAAAAGAAAAAAAGATTTCATATTTGTGGCCTTTGGCGCTCAGTGGGTTTGTTCACAGTGTGGATGGGGGGTTGTATGGTGCTATTTTTTTCCTCATTAGGTTAAAGGACTTTAGAGGTGATATTGGAAGGATATTTTAGCAGAACAGGCTCTTTCAAAATGGGCTAACCTTGAGTGTCTGCGCAGGGAAAGAGCTGATGGCAGGCAAACAGCCCGGAATGAGTCCATCCGCATACGATAACACTCAGCGGATATGCGCAGAAAGCCTGAAAACCAGCCGTCACCTCTTATTATAAGGCTGTGGAGAGATAGTGATGTCACATTATACTCCTTGCTGCTGCTGCTGCTGCTGCCTATATGCGTGTGCGCGCCTATGTGCGTGTATTCCCCAGAAATTGGATGGGTGGGACGAGAGCACAGAAGGCCAAAACAAATGTATCGAGAATATCTGGGTTGGTAGTATGAAACGAGGGGGATTACTGCGTAAAATGATGTGCAGTCCATTGCTGCGCAGCCTACAAAGCGCCCAGCCCCAGAGCCAATGGGTGTCAGACAGCGCCATACATTCAGTACAGTGGAGCACAGTAGCGGCCTGCTGCTGGAGAGACAGAGGCAAAGGGGATTTATTCATGTGAGACAGGCAGAATATAGCAGGGTGTGCATGTGTATTGATTCTATCTATCTATCTATCTATCTATCTATCTATCTATCTATCTATCAATATATGATGTATATCAAAATGGTGACATGACTGATTGATGTTGCATTATGTCATTTCTCTGCCCTAAACACTTCTGGCAAGAGTTCCCCCCCCCACCCCCATCTGTTTGTTAGCAGAGCTTTCAGCACAGAGGGATGGTTAAGCCAGTAGATGTGTGTGTGTGTGTGTGTGTGTGTGTGTGTGCATAAAGTGTGTGAGTTTACGAGGTGCATGATTGATTATGAATGCAGATCCGTTCCTTCCGTCAGAATGGACATGGATCTGCTGTCATCACCACGCAATTAAGCCATGGTGACAGACGAGTGAATTGACCGGGTGAAATGTTGTGTTGTCACATTGGCACAGGTGAGGTTGGCTTCTACGTTGTACCCTTACAGCCAGCAGGTTGGTGTAACTCCACTGCTCGCCTCCGGTGCCGTTGGATGGGACTGGTTTTGACGGTGTTTAGATTGTATAGATTAGGGGTCCAGATTTGCTCTAGGTGGGGCGTGAGAACAGAAATGGGAGGAATGGGAAGCATGGGAAGCATGGGAAGGAGGGAGTGTCTGAAGGTGGGGCGTAAGGCTGCGTGGTTGTGTGTGTGTGTGTGTGTGTGTGTGTGAAGCTGAGAGCAAGATGACATGCTGGGGGGATGGAAGTGTGATGCCTCAGGGCCTGGGACTGGCCAGGGACCACTGTGCCGGCATCTGCTCCCTTTTTTCCTCTTTCCTCTTACATTCCTCTTTCTATTTATTTTCTGTCAGATACCCTGGTTTCCGAATCTCCTGGTATCCTCCCCTCACCTCCCCCCAACATTTATTTTCTGTCTTTCCTCCTCTCTATCTTTGCTTGGTTTGTCACATGACAAGACGCTGCTTCATACTGTAAATACATCCAGCTTTGTTTGTGCAAATGCACATTGTTGTCCTCCCTTTCTCTTCTGCTCTGCTTCCTGGCTGAACATTATCTGTGACTCAAGCATTGGACTCATCACTGCACAACAATGCTCTGAATCGCTGGGGTCCAGAATCAAGGTGGTAACATGCAGCAGCGGTAGCAGCAGCAGCACTGTAAAAGCTTCAGGGCTACCGCAAATTGCAGGGTATTACCTTTGCCCTCTGCCATATTCCATGAAGACATATTCCAGCAAGCAGCAGACCTCTAAAGAAGATGATACTGAACCCAAAATGGAAACAATATGTTCAAGTGTTCATGTGCTGGACAGCAGCTGTTAACCCAGAAATGAAGGGCATGTATTCACATGCAGCTCAGCTCAGCATCAGCTCAGCGTTTATGAAACAAACATCTGGTGGAAGGATTCTGGTAACGTGGCACAGGCTTGTCACTTCTCAGTCTATCAATAGATTATATATGCAGTAAAGCTGGGCTGCTTATTGTAAGCATATTTACCTGTGCATCATCAGTGACTACAGCAGATACTCAGTGTGAGCGATGACACAGCGAGACAGGGAGTTCCCTGGACCTTTGCCTTGAAACAGCCTAATTGCTGCCTAAAAACAGCATATTGTCTCCATATTCTTTCGTGAGCAGAGTTCATGACCAGCTTGCAGAGACAGAAAGGACTAACTCATATCATTTTGCTTCTGGAGACCATCAGTGCTCCATGGGTACAGGCAGCCCTGGAGGTCCTCTGGCAGCCTGCTGCTGCTCTATGTGATATTGGTACTGGCACAGTGAGTTAACCCCTTCCTTTTCTTCCAGCATGTGTCGCTGGGGGCCAGTCGCTCAGACAAGACCACCAGCCAGTCCAGTCGCTCACTGGGGGCCCGGTGTAGGAACTCCATCGCCTCCTGCTCTGACGAGCAGCCGCACATTGGCAACTACCGTCTACTCAAGACCATCGGCAAGGGGAACTTCGCCAAGGTCAAGCTGGCCCGCCACATCCTGACGGGCAAGGAGGTGAGACACAGGGAAGCAGAGGTCCAGGGTGGGAGGAGGGAGAAAGGAGATGGATGAGTAGATGTTTGCACGGTGAGGGAAGGTAATGGTTAAGCTGATGTTGCCGGCATCCTCAGGGTTTGATTTGGTCCAGTATTGAGTCTGCAACATCATATTTTTTCAACATATTTTTTAAGGAAGTAGATCTTATTCTCTCATTTTACCCTCTAATTGAATCTCCTTTAATATACTTTTCCTTGTTCAACACATTTCTATGGGACAAATAACAAGTAGTAGATTGACTTCTATTCTGTCAAGACATCATGATGTCTTTAGGGAATCGAGGATATGATTTCAATTAGTTGTTCAGTTAAGAAAGACTTAAATTTAAACACTGAATACTAAATGACTGCAATGAGAAGGTACACTTTATAAAATGTTTATATGTTATAACTAATTGCTTCTTAAATGTTTAATAAGTCATTTAATAAAGCTTTAGAGATCAGTTCGAAACTATTAGGAGCAACTTTTGGGATGCCAGGTTATTTGACTGATTGGACAGTATGACCACTTACTGTCTTCTTAATGGATTACCAAAGGATGAACCCTGGGAAAAGAGAGCTTTTACAACCTGGCAACCCAAATTTCTATTCTAAGTGACTTATGGCTGATCTATAAAGCTTTAGCATGATTTATTAGTCATAAAAGCATTATAGATGACTTGATTGAAAACAAACATATATAGTATTGTATATTTAGCACCATGTATGGAGGTTATAAGCAAAAGCAAGCTCTAATGATGATGTGTTTTCTTTTCCTCATCAAAAACATGCTTGATGTCTCTTCCAGGTTGCAATAAAAATCATTGACAAAACTCAGTTGAACCCAACCAGCCTACAAAAGGTGAGTTTTCCCTCTTTACACTGATGGATTGTTCATTGAGGGGTATGTCCTCAGGTACAAAAGCAGACACATGCTACACTCTCTAACACTATCTGCCCGCGTAAGCTCCAGCCAGGCATCAGAAATGTGGATGACTTGGTCACATTGATGTAATTCAACAAAATGCCGATATGCCGTCGGGGACTCGGAGAGGTTCAGGTTTATCCTCAGCTGTTTCCTCCTCAGAGGGGGCAGGAACGAGAGAGCAGCTGATGGAGAGAGGCCGCGTGGGATGTGATGCTGTTTGGCAGGTGCTAGGGACTGGATGGGAGCGAGAGGAGACCTCTGCTCCAGAGATCATCTCTCGTCTCTCTCTGGGCTAATCACTGCCCTGAGAGGGGGGGTGACTCATCTCGGGAACTGCGGTCACCCAACCCGTCCTTTTTTTGTGTGTGTGTGTTCTTAATTTGTCTCCCCTGAACACACGTTTCTGCGGATAACAAAGAGAGCCTGGTGGCCATTTCATTGATGTGAGAGGTGTCTTTAGAAAGGCTCAGGTATACATGTCACTGGCTTCCTATTTTCCTGCTGGTCAGCACGTTGAGTGCTGAGACTGAATGGTGGACACTCTAGGTTTGTTGTGCATGAAGGTCAGAGGCTGAGCAGTGGACACTTTTGCCAGCTATCAAGGGCAACCTCAGTGTGGTGCATCCACACAATGGTAGACATCTGGAGGAGACCTGGACTGGTAGATATCCAGACACAACATGGCTGACATTAAGACCGTTGGATTGTGTGTTTATCACATGCTCACATATCTCCATCTTAGACCAATGAAGTGCTTTTCTGCCCTGTAATGCAGCTAGATCTCACACAGTCAGGTAAATAAGTATCTGGAAGAGAGTTAAAAGATGCAGACAGCCATTTTAATCAACCCATATTTGTCCAGAATGCTGCTTATATCCACATATAGGCCAAAGTGTCTCCCTCATTTAGCCCGCCCCTCCCTCCCTCTCTCATCTCTTTATACCTCCCTTGGCCTGCATGAGCTCCTCTGCCTGTGGGCAAGAAGTGAACAGAGCAGAAGGACCAAATCAGGGATAAAATAATTGTTCTTTATATGTGTGTGTGCGATTTAGTTTGACTGGAAGATGTCTGCATGTCTGGCTACATACATTAGCAAGACCAGTGTTTCTTCACAAGAGATGCAGAATTATGTGAATCCCTGTGAGATCATTGCTCGAACAGGGACCGCCGTTATTTTATATTGGGGCTTTTTCCTTTATTGGGTAGGACAGCTGAAGGTATTGTTCACCATAACAGGAAAGGGGGTAGAGAGAGAGGGGATTACATGCAGCAAAGGGCCACAGGTCAGAGTCGAACCCATTGCTGCTGCAGCAAGGACTCAGCCTTGGTACATGGGGCACCAGCTGTACCAGGCGAGCTATCAGGGTGCCCTGGGACCAACATAGTCGTGTTGAAATGCTGTGGGTCACTTTACTGGTAACAACTTAAAAATGTCCAAGAAGATTTGCACATACTAAATGGCGTTTAACAAAAAAAATCCTTTTGATTATATTTGGTTTCTTTTTTTGTTAATAATCTTTTTCTCAATCTGTGTATTTACCCAGCACCCACAGCTGTGACCTTGAGTTGTTGCTGTATTATCAAGGCTTTACTTCTCATTGTTTTCTTTTTCCATAACCATTCGTTGCCCTTTTGACCACTGGCTTTCTGTAATCCTGATACTTTGACTCATCATATTTCTGGTGCTTGTATCATGACAGAAAATGGATTTTCTGTACCTCACCTGGCTAGAATATTGAATGCTTTACATGAACTGTAAGCCCAACTTGCGTGTTATCCCATCTTCCTGCCTGCTGCTTTTCTTGGACCTGGACCGGCTGCTGTGAAAGACAATGGTGCAACATTTAGGACAGGATTGAACAGAGAGGCAAAGGATTGGCCACTGATTGGAGAGAATGCTCTACAATTGGCCGGTGATGATAGCGGGGCTTCTTTACATACCCGTGGGCTAGAGAAAATCCTCAGTACTGAAGACATGAAAGAGTCCATATTAGCATAATCTGGACGGTAATGTATGTAGAGGGGAGAAGGAATGAGGGAGATGTATTGTACAGGAGGGGGGGTTGAAAGAGGGGGAGGAAGGGAGGAAGGAAGGAAGGAAGAAAGGAAGAGGAAAGTAAAATCACAGATGAGAAAATTTAAACCTCAATATCCGTGAAGAAGGATTTCCTACACGAGGAAATGGCCGATTACAGGAGGAGGATTTTATTCTGGCCCCTCTGTGTTGGAGGACACCTAGAAACTAAATATGTGACACAACTTACATTTTAATGCAATTTGTTTCCATCTGCTGGATTTGTAATTAAAGCCAGGAGTCCATCCCTGTCAGCTTCATCATAGGATTTCTGTCCATCTGCGGTCATTAATGTTGACCGGGGTCGAAACGTGTTGCCGGGGGATTGTTTGTTGTTTCGACGGATCTGACCGCTCGGCCCTGCCATGACGAGCAGGGAATTAACGGGAAGCCCGGATAAAATGAGACTACGTATCCCAAGATTCCCTCTAGCACAGCTGGAGAAGCTGGGAAAGAGACCCGGTCTTAATACTTGGGTCGCTATGGCAACAGTGACGTTGGGGGCACTGCTATAGGAGAAGACTGCTGGAGGAATTGAATGAAGGAGGAGGAGGGAAAGGAGGGAGACACGTCGGAAAATAGAAGAGGGGGAGGATTGAGAAAAGAGGATAGAAAAGCTTATGGCACAATCTTTTTATTTTCCTATTTTTTCCGGACGGAGTTGACGATGTGGAGGAAAGTCACTGGTGTTCAGCGACGGCCTTTTGTTGAGGGAGTGTACTGTTATATACGTGAAACCAGGGGAGCTGGCTCAAATGTAATCCCCTGCTCTGCTCTGACAAAGTGTACAAATATATCCCCCGGAGTCGATGTATCACACGCAGTGAGGAGTGCTCGGAGTAGAAGTTGGTCCATTTTGGCTGCAGATCCATCACATTTGTGTGTGGGCCATTTGTTGTTGTTGTTTTTAATGGTGAGGAGGTTTGTGTCGGTTGTTGTCACCCTCTCAAAATTCTCATTTGGATGACTATCAGAGACCGAAAGTGATGCTGTTATTTTTAGGACAAAAGTATAAAACTGTCTGCTTGTACTGGTCCAATGCCAGTCTCTAAGGGGGTTCTAGTTTGATTTCAGCAGCAGAATTGATTGCACATTACTGTGCTATAAAGACTATATGATAAACAGCCAAGCAGGAAGCCATTTAATGTAGCCTTTACACTACCTTCACCAATGAAGTGGTGTCTTAAAAGAGTACTCCACATATTAAGCATTGCACTTCTTTAAAGATCCCCTCCAGATATGTATGAAGACATATTTATATACAAATAGTCTGCCTGGAACTATAATGTGTGTCTGATATATTTGTTCCACAAAAAAGGAACATTTCCACATTAAAATCCTTAAAAAGTCATCTCCTCCTTCTATCTCATTAAAACTTCCAGAATCTATGAATATGCAAATGTTGTCCTGAATGGACTTGAATGTTGTCAGGCTCACAATGAACAGTTTTTGTTTCATTGTCAAAACCTGGCACCTACATTACCCATAATGCAATTAAGCGGTGAACAGTCCGGCCAGAGATCCAGTAGTGTTAGTAGTTACTGTTAATGTAGCTTGGAGATGAGATTCATTTTTAAACTTGTACAGGGTTCCCATGCGTCCTGGAAAACCTGGGAAATTAGAGAGTAGTTTTCCAGTCATGGAAATACCTGGAATTTGCATGCAGCTGTTATATGTTAATAACTGTGGTAACAGTATCTTCAGGTCCCATGTTAATCTACCTTAACTCCAAAAAATACTGAGCACAAATAGTGATTGTTGAAGTGACCCAGTAAAAGTTGGAACCTTGTAAAAGGAGAGATATATGGGTAGAGTATTAGCAGTATAGTAAATCATTTAGAGGAAAGCTCAGATTCTGTACTGCCAGTGAAATTCTTTTTCCATGACGTATGGAATACTACGTTTTGCATTTTGAAAAAAAAAAAATATTTCTAACCAATACAAAGGCTCGATCAGCTTACTTGAAATAAAGAGACTTGGAGGATTCACAAGACACTAGTCTCAACTTAAGACATTAGTCTCAATTAAACCATCCAGTTCAAGGAGGTTTTTCGCCTCAGAAATTTGATGGGGAACATTTTGGTCATGATCCACATCTGAGATTCAGTTCTTTTGTTTGTCAAGCAGAACTGTGGAAATAATGGAAATCAGGAGATTAGAGTTTTTACCGTAAGATGTTGAAATTAGCAAGCTTAAAATCAGAGACCTGAAAAGAAAATGCAAAAGTATACTGCACTCATTTTCACGACAGCCTGACAGCAACCGTGTGAATTCTGAGATATACAGACACATGCAGTATGCGTCACAGACCCAAAAATGCTGAGAACCCTAACCTCAGCTCCCAAGAACAACCATGGTTCCTTTGAATCTAAATGTATTTCTTTCAGTGAACATGATGCCATCATTGCTACACTTAAAAGCACAGATTTATTTATGTGTAGTATTATCAATACATTAAAATTCTGTTTCTTCTTCCCAGCTCTTTCGGGAGGTACGAATAATGAAAGGCTTAAATCACCCTAACATAGGTAAGGCACATGCATACATCTCAATGGGCTTTATGTTTGTGTGTGTTGAGTGTGCGTCCATGTGTGTGTGTTTTGCTTCTGTGTGTGTGATCAGACAGAAGAATAATGCTTTGAATAAGCTTTAGAGCATTCATTGACCGAACTGTGGCAAGCGACGTCGCAGAATTGCATATAGAGGTCACGAGGTTGGATTTTCTAAAGCTGAAATGCCATATGGATCAAAACCCCCCACAGCATTAGCAGCGGGTTCCTTGGTATTAAGGCAGACGGGCAGACTGCTGCGCTATATTATTCATAATGTGAGCAGGATTTGTTGATATATATTTGATTTTAATCTGCTTCTGTTTTGGGCTACAGTGCAGCTGTTCGAGGTGATTGAGACTGATAAGACCCTTTACCTAATCATGGAGTACGCCAGTGGGGGTGAGTACATCAGCCACCACGTCCAGGAAAAAGCAAATGGTGCAGGAGGTTGCAGATTTTATTGGAACTGCGTGTTTTAAATTCAGGTCCAACAGGAAATCCTTGTTTGTGTGTGTGTGATCAGTATCGAGATCATTTTACAGTTTGGATGCATGGTAAAACACAGTGGCTGAAGGTGAAACTACAGAGACACTGGTACATTGGAGGGTTGTTTTCCTTCATATATCCTATATATAAGTACAATTTAAAGAAATTGTTCGACATTTGGAGACATACTTGCTTTCTTGCCAAGAAACTGATTATTCTAGAGCAGTAATACTAAAATGAAGGGTGGCCCACCGACAAATTTTCTAATTCACAATGAAAATAAATTCATTCACACTGGGAGTTTGTACCAATGAGTAAATGTTCAATAATGTCCCTTGGCTGTTGCTTTGGTAGTTAGCCTATCAGAGATCTGCACAGAAATTGTGACACTTGATTTCTGGAGGACAGTACATGTCGAAGAACTGACATTAAAAACAGGCAATTTAATGAAAAATGGATGGATGACTTTGCCTTTTTTTTGCCACCTCATACCAGTCCTAAACCACTGTGTTTAATTTGCCAAATGACAATTGTTGTATGCTAATATTTGGCACCATCACAAAACATGCTAGCTGCAGTGCAGCGTTTCTGCCTGGTAGCAACGCGATAAAATAGAAGATTGCGAAGTTGTCTTATTCTGCCCCATCAACGATCTGAATATTTATTAATTTGATCTGATAAATATCATTAATGTTTGTTTATTAACTGGCCCCTGGCCTCCTGCTATTTTGCAAAAGTGCAAAGTCCCTGGTTCTAGGGCAAAGCTTTTCAGGAGTTGCAAGGACTGTATTAGGAAACACTGAATTAAGTTTGAATGACATGACATGAAGAAATGAAACAAAATACACAATACACAATACAGTCAGAGAATTGTATAAAAAAGAAAACATCTCATATTCGCAGGAAATAATCTGCAAAATTCATCTAAATCACCATTTTACGCAAACTTTCTACAGTTACTGGGTTCACTGTTTGGGTTGATTGTACAGTTTATCATTTGTTCTGTATTATTATTGTTATGCGTTGAATATTATATGAAATATCCATTAAATATGTCACTTACTGAGGAGTTACTCAGTGATAGAAAAAGAGTCCCTTTAGGAAAAAGGTTGGGAACCACTGTTCTAGGGGATGTATGTATATATTTTAGGGATATAGCCAGCACAAAGGAGGAATAAAGCCTGGGTTAAATGTGTCAATACTAGCCCTTCCGGTAATCTATGTTATGTATGAATAATTGTGACCAAGTGCTGTCCTAGAGTGGGAACCTGTGTTCTTGACATCACATACTGGAGACATTTATTCAAACAAGTCAAAATGAAGTGGACACAGGTGAATTAGTTCACTCTTTAAACAAAAATGTAGTGTTTAAATTAAATTAAATTATGTTTTGTAGCGCTTTGCTCTCTTTAGCTCTTTAGCATACCAAAACGGGTGTGTGGTACGCTTATACATTCGAACTTAATAGAGTATGGAACCACAACATAAACAACTGAGCAGTCTCTGTGCAGTAATGGTGCTGTTTAAACTGACTTTAAACACAATTTCAGGAGTAATGCCAGCAAATTGCATCTAATGCTGCTCGCCTTTTCTTTTGGCCTCCATTAGTCTCTTTTATGCTTCTATTTGCGTCCGTTTCTTGTCACCAATTCCCTTTTTTTTTTCTGTGTTCTGTCCCTAAACGTATCGTTTGCTCACTGCGACCTTGGAGAATGTCACAGACACAGTTTGAATGTGGCTTTCTTTCAAGCCCATTATTAAGTTGGGAAAAAAAGACCAGTTGTAGTGGTGCCTGGACGCCTGAAGACCAAAATGTAATATCTATCCTTATATACAGTAGATCCTAAGGACCAGTAGTGCTGTACAATATGTTCAAAATCTCATCCCCCAGTATAGGTAATTTCATATCCAGGTAACAGTATCTATCACGATATAGAGACATAGAATGTATGTTTTTCTGGTACATGACTTTCCATACCCAAACTACATCCATAAAACAGAAGTAGGCCTGTTTTGTCTTGGCTGCTCTAAATATTGGCAGGTTGAGTTCAGTGATTGAAGCAAATAAAAGCCCTGACTATTAATTAAACAGTAAATAAATTGCTTTTTACTGATGCACAGATTTTTGAAACAATGCTTACCTTTTGTAATGGGGGAATTTTGAACAAAGATGCAGAACCGGGGAATCTTACCATCCGTAATATCCAACAACAGTTCACAAACGATCCAAAATCTAGAAGCTACTCAAACCTGTGTTATGGAATTTCCCCTTACTCTCGGCGAGAAAGCAAATGAGTGTATTTCCCAAAATGTCAAATTGTTCCTTTAAGGTTTCATGTGGCTACAAGTAGTACAATAAGGTTGACACCTTGACAGCACTTGAACCTTATAAATATTAATAACTGGATTGATTGTGTCTATCAGCACTATATAATCAAATAATAAAATGGCTATAATGCTTCTGGCTTTACGACCTGACTGATCGGTTCCTGCTTCCACACTCACAGGTGAAGTGTTTGACTACCTCGTGTCTCATGGGAGAATGAAGGAGGTTGAAGCCAGAGCCAAATTTCGACAGGTACGAGCACACTCCCCTCGCGCCCGCGTTGTGCCAATCCTCACATTTAATTGCCAGTACTAAAGCTTTGTCCGCTCCTCGTGTTCACAGATTGTCTCTGCTGTCCACTACTGCCACACCAAGAACATTGTCCACAGAGATCTGAAGGTGAGGAAGTTCAGAAAATGTTTTTGGGCTGCTTTCAGAGATGGTGGATTAAGGCTAGAAGATGTCCCAGTCTTGGACTGGGACATTTCTTTCACTGACAGATTACACTGAACAGAAAGTTATAATCTGGGACTTGTCTTAATCTGTGTCTGTGAAAAGGGCCCTTTAACATCTTAATCACATAGTAAAGCACTGATGAGTGGAGAGGCTGTTTTTTTACCAAGCTGGGAAGGGTAGGAGGCAGCCAGAGCCTGCTCCTGTTCTAATAGATTATTACATTCCTCAATACACACAGTGACATATATACAGTATGAGTCATGTCCAGTATCTGTGTTGTTGGACAACACGCAAGCACCACCCCCTCCCCATCTGTCTCTCATTCACGCTCTCTTTTTCCTCCCCCAATCCGACCATTTTCTCGACCGCTCCCCCCTCACCATCCAACCCTCCCCTGTCCATCCCTGCCTCCCCCTCTCCTGCATCAACGTATGCATGACTCAGGCGGAGAACCTTCTGCTGGACGCTGACGCCAACATCAAGATCGCCGACTTCGGCTTCAGCAATGAGTTCACGCTGGGCAACAAGCTGGACACGTTCTGTGGCTCGCCGCCCTACGCTGCCCCCGAGCTTTTCCAGGGCAAGAAATATGATGGGCCCGAGGTGGATGTCTGGAGTCTTGGAGTCATCCTCTACACGCTGGTCAGCGGCTCGCTGCCCTTTGATGGCCAGAACCTGAAGGCAAGTGGATGGGGGGAGGGTCTGTCTCGGTACACTCAGAGGCAGGAGTTGTCCTCAGGGGTTTATGGTAACAATAATGGGTTTACATATATTGAAACGTATAGTTCGCAACAACCATCTAATTAAGTACACTGAGGGATGCAGTGCAGTTTTTAAAAGCTTGTGATAAATGTTATTTTTCTTTTCTTTGTACATCTGCAGAACTTTGCTTCAAGTGTTATCTTAAATCTGACCTGCGACATGATGTCAAAAATATGATTTCAATTTCAAGTACACTTTCATATACAATTAATATAAAAACTATTTTATTTTATTATTTTCTATTTTAAAAAATTTGTTGGCACAAAATAATGGCAAAGGTCAAAGGTGCCCGCAAACACAAAAATGACTGACTGCAAATAACAAAAATGATACAAAATGAAATAAATAAATAAAAACGTATATAAACTGCTGTTTGTATCATGTTAGTAATGGACATGTAATAGTAGTGCTAAAACATTGTACCAGCTGTGGCCCTAAGACTGTTTGAGCTTGAGAGCCCTGGTTTACAGTAACAGTGGACGGTAGAATTTTACAGAACCGCCCCAAAGGCTGCTCTTTCTCCCCTTTGGGGTAGTTTGATAAAGTCTGAATCAAAGCCAGGAATGTAGTGGCGACCTCGTGACCCAGTGTGTGATGTGTACATGTGGTAGCCAGGTTTTGAATGTGGTCCAGGACCTTTGTGTTTCTCTCAGTCTTCCTTCTTATTCTTCTTTTTCCAGTGATCCTCTCTTCTGGAAATAATCATTTTTGTTCGTATTGGTTGCTTTATAGTGTTTATTTACTTTATAGTCCACCTGAATTCTTATTTTCCTTTAAACTACTGCTTGACAACCTTTTTTCTGTACAGTATTCCTATAAAAAGTCATCATGAATTGTGGTTAAAATAGATCCTATAGTCCAACTGATACTGGATTTTTGAGGCCAATATTGATATTTGAGAGCTAATCTCTAACTGTTGTCTGCTGTTTGGTGCGGCGCAGGCAGTGTACAGTGAGTTTATCACAGCCTTTCACTGAAAACCGCTGGCAGTGATGTTTATAAGAGCTATGAGAGTGAACCATAGCAGTGAAACTAAAGCCATTCATGAATCTGGTAATGTATTAACATGTCAAAATCAGTTATAATCAGAAAAACTGGTCACTGTGTGTACTTGTGGAACAGTGTACAGTTTGTCTTGATCAAAATCACTGACATAAGGGAGGAGGACACCATTTCATCCTTTTTGTGCCATTTTGCATCAGTGTGCATCATACACTGCATATACTTTTTTTCTATTTGAATCTCCTTAGTTATATAACACATGTGCATTGGCCATTTAATTTCTGTTCCAACTACGTATCCCAAATAATAAATAGTGTAGTGATTCTGTGCCATCCCCTTGTGCTGTAATGTTATTGTACCCTGTAGTAGAACTGCTGCTAAAAAAAAATAAAAATAGTATTTTTATCCAAAATCCAGCAGATGGCAATGAATGGCCCCCTAGAGCTGTACCAGAGGGTGGAGACAAATGTGTATTTAACCCCTCTCATATCTAACTGCACCCCAGCATACCGCCTGCAGTGAGGGACCTGGGGATTTAAGTTCTTATGCGACAGACACCATTACAGACTGGTCTTATCAGAGGAGTTCAGTATGAAAAGCTTTTATGCAGTGTTGGATAAGTTGTAATTAAAACTTAAACATAAACCAAAATGAACGAAGTGGTTATGGGGGGGAAGTCAGAATTTACTTTAATGTGCCTTGATGCATAGTGCTGACATAATGGCTGCAGAAGTAGCTTCTTCTCTTTTTTTGACCATGTTTATTTCAAAACTAGCATTAAAGACAAATAAAGTAGGGATGTCCAGCATCCGAGTGGTTAAGACATGTGTAACTGCAGGGTTCACACCCCCGGTTGGGGTTCTCGTTTGTTTTTATTTTTGACATCTCCTCCCTAACTGCTGGTCCAACTGTCCCTAAACTGAGTCAGGATCAAACTTTGCTGATCTTAACTAGTTAACCCGTTTCCATTTTAGAAGCCAATTAATATTTATCAAAATATAAAAAATTGGCAATAACTTATTTGTGCTTCACCTCTAGGGGGTGCCACAAATGTGAAAAGTTAATATCTCATAATTAGCTTGAAAAATATATTGTAATATTTTTTTTGTGATATTGTATTGATTGAAACCGTATCGTAAAAACACCATTGATTCTTGTGTTTAAACCCTCAAGATGGATAGATAGTAGTGTCATAAATGTAACCGTTTTAACTTAGATTTCATGCATATGGTGGTACACTATTTATGTTTTCCTAAAAAACAAAACAAAAAACAATACATGGCTTTGCTTACAGCATTGCAATATATCCAACCGTATCCCCTGTGCTGTATGTGTAATGTGATGTATCTCGTCAACAGGAGCTGAGGGAGCGCGTGCTGAGAGGAAAGTACCGCGTCCCCTTCTATATGTCCACAGACTGTGAGGGGATCCTTCGCCGATTCCTGGTGCTCAACCCCGCCAAACGCTGCACCCTAGAAGTAAGAATATGCAGTGCTTAAGGCGTAACTTAACCTCATGTGAAATTGGAACAGGACTGAAGCTTTTCTGTGCCTCTGTTTCTGCAGCAAGTCATGAAGGACAAGTGGATAAATACAGGGTATGAAGGGGACGATCTGAAGCCCCATATAGAACCTGTTGAAGACTACAGTGATCCAGCTCGCATTGGTGAGTCAGCGGGACCACTATTACTGCAGCTGCAGCTTGGCTGTTGGCCTGCCTGCTGTTCTAGCTGAGAGTGTCCATTACAACCCTGGTCAGTGTAGCCAAAATGCAAGATGTTATAAATCTCCTTTCTTACCTTTCGTATTTGGTTGTTTGTGTTCCTCAGAGGTGATGGTCGGGATGGGTTTCACTCCAGAGGAAATCAAGGACTCTCTGCTCAATCAGAAGTACAATGAGGTCACCGCCACCTACTTACTGCTAGGCCGCAAAGGCGATGTGAGTTATATAGTTCTACACAATATTTATTTATGCATACTAGGTATCTAACTAACATACTAACCAGAACAACTGGCAATGAATGAAGACTGACCTTTTCCATGATCACTATTTGTGCATGCTGGGCTGGGTATTACTTCAATTATTTTTCCATACATTCCATTTTTCCAAATGTAGTACTTTTTGATACCTTACAAAATACAATATTTTTCTCCAAAACCCTTTCTGTTCTAACAAAAGAAACCAAACTTTTTGAATACATGTGATCAATGTTGTTCGCATGCACATGATGGCTGCCTCGCATATCCTGCGTCCATTTGGACTGTTGGTTGTGCACATTCTCAGAAATGAACATGACAAACACGTGGTTAAAAAGCAAGTGTTAATCATATGTCAAATACCGTAAGCCTGCCTCAGCACAATGGTCCTGGTGTAACTCTGAGTTGGATTCTGATCTGACTTCTTCTCATCTTAAACACCGAATCACCAAATTAATACGTTGATCACTAAATCTATAATGTTAATTTCCCACTATATCTCCGGCTTTAAAACAAACAGCACTACAAGAAGCTTGCTTAAATAAACTAATTTGCAAAGTCATGTTTTAAATCAGAATATCTGGAGTACAGTATATATGTCAACTCTTTCTTTCTATATCTATAGCTCTGTTCTTTTGTATTAGCTGCTGCAATCCCCTATGACCACAAAATGTTTGTCTATTAAATTACACTGTCTACCTACATCAATAAAATAGAAAAACATCACACCATCTTCACACATTTGAATCAACTGTTACCCTAACCCATTTAAAATTTGTGCACTGACTTCCCTTAACCCCAAAGACACTCTTGATGAATATTGCAGTATCTCCTAATTGTAAGCTTTGTCATATCAGTCAGGGACTTTTTCTGCATACGATTTGGTAATGCCCCTCTGTTTTTGGGAGCAGGTTAGTAAAATGATTTCTAAAGTGATTTAATCTCTCTTCCGTCCCCACAAGTAAAGTAATGTTATTAAGTGGTGATTTTTATTTAAACTTCTCTTAGCTGTTACATCTCAATCAGGGCTCAGAAAGTATTGAGGGTCGATACCCAACCCCTCTTATCGCAATTATCATTCAAAACTGTGTTTCTGGGGGAGACCAAAACCACCTGGTATATTCAATTACCCATCCTTCCTTCTCACTGTAATACTCAACTTTACAGACGCCAAATTCGGTCACACTTTCTGACTTTTCTATCCAATATCACTGGAACATTATAGGAGGGCAGTGAGGCTCGCACAGCCAGTAGCCTGTCCCTGGCGAGGGTACGACCCAGCCCCATCACCAACGGAACCAACAAGCACTCATCAGCCACTGGCTCCTCTTCCTCCTCCACCTCTTCTTCACATAGCAAGACCCAGCGCAGTGCCTCCACCTACCACAGGCAGCGGCGACACAGCGACTTCTGTGAGTCTCTTCTCTAACATTATCTCTATCTAAGCTATGCATCTGTTAAAACTTCATGTGAATGTGTGTTCACTTGTAATTCTGTAAGCAGTTTAATCCACTGATACGAACACCCAAATTCAATTTTCAATTCTGAAATAAAGCAGGTCTAGACAGTATTTCAGGCAGGACCACTTTTGTCAAAATAACTTTTATTACAAAGCCGATATGGTATGGCTCTGTTCTGGGACCT